ATTCCATTTTTGTTTATGCAAATATTGTAATCTATAATCATTTTTTGTGTCTTTTTATTCAAAATAGTAACAATGGCCGACAAAATGGACAAAATGGACAAGATTTTTGTGTTTGGTTAGAAATTAGGAAGCTCAAAAATAATATTTTTTTGTTAATACTTTTTGAATGAATAAGAAATAGAAAATCTAGATTGTCATTTCAAAGTACAAGGGCGCAAACCAATCTAAATAATATTAATTATAGTTAAAGATATTTCTCAAGTTGAATGCCAAGAAATTTTTAATGAACTTAGTTAGAATACGTAACTCTCTCATATAAGTTGGAAGAAACCTATTCTTTCATTGGGCAATTTTATGTCCTGTAACAAACTCACGTCCTTAACGTCCTATGACTAATTCTTGTCCTGTTCTGTCATCAACTCTTGTCCTAAACTGTCCTATCACAAACTCTTTCCTTATCCGTCCTGTAAATATCTTTTTTCTATCCGTCTTATAAATATCTCTTTCTATCCGTCCTATAAATATCTCTTTTATATCCGTCCTGTAAATATCTCTTTTCTATCCGTTCTGTAAATAAATCTTTTCTGTAATTCGTCCTATAAATATCTCTTTTTTATCCGTCCTTTAGATAACTCTTTTCCATCCGTCCTATAAATATCTTTTTTATATCCGTCCTATAAATATCTCTTTCTATCCGTCCTATAAATATCTCTTTTATATCCGTCCTGTAAATATCTCTTTTTTATCCGTCCTGTAAATATATCTTTTCTATCCGTCCTGTAAATATCTCTTTTCTATCCGTCCTATAAATATCTCTTTTCTAACCGTCCTATAAATATCTCTTTTCTATCCGTCCTATAAATATCTCTTTTCTATTATTTCTTTTTGTAAACTTAAAAGTAGGATTTATATTAAATTCTGTTGATCTCATCATTCACTCTTATTCAGTGTAAATACGAGCTTGAAAGTATTTGGACCTTTTCCTGCACCATTTACTCTATTCCTTCCCGTCATTCCCTTCCCATAGCTTACATCTCATCCTTCCCTTCCCATAGCTTCCATCTCATCCTTCCCTTCCCTTAGCTTACATCTCATCCTTCCCATTCCCTTAGCTTACATCTCATCCTTCCATTCCCTTAGCTTACATCTCACCCTTCCCTTCCCTTAGCTTACATCTCATCCTTCCCTTCCCATAGCTTCCATCTCATCCTTCCCTTCCCTTACCTTACATCTCATCCTTCCCATTCCCTTAGCTTACATCTCATCCTTCCCTTCCCTTAGCTTACATCTCACCCTTCCCTTTCTTTGGCTTACATCTCATCCTTCCCTTCCCATAGCTTACATCTCATCCTTCCCTTCCCTTAGTTTACATCCCATCATTCCCTTCTCATAGCTTAAATCTCATCCTTCCCTTCCCTTAGCTTACATCTCATCCTTCCCTTCCCTTTGCTTACATCTCATCCTTCCCTTCCCTTAGCTTACTTCTCATCCTTCCCTTCCCTTAGCTTACATCTCATCCTTCCCTTCCCTTAGCTTACCATCTCATCCTTCCTTTCCCACAGCTTACATCTCATCCTTCCCTTCCCATAGCTTAAATCTCATCCTTCCCTTCCCTTAGCTTACATCTCATCCTTCCTTTCCCTTAGCTTACATCTCATCCTTCACTTCCCTTAGCTTACATCTCATCCTTCTCTTTCCTTAGTTTACATCCCATCCTTCACTTCCCTTAGCATACATCTCATCCTTCCCTTCCCCTAGCTTAAATCTCATCCTTCCCTTCCCTTAGCTTACATCTCATCCTTTCCTTCCCTTATCTTACATCTCATCCTTCCCTTCCCATAGCTTACATCCCATTCTTCCCTTCCCTTAACTTACATTATCCTTCCCTTCCCTTAGCATACACCTCATCCTTCCCTTACATCTCATCCTTCCCTTCTCTGAGCTTACAACCCATACTTCCCTTACCTTAGCTTACATCTCATCCTTCCCTTCCCTTAGCTTACAACCCATACTTCCCTTCTCATATATCTTACATCTCATCATATCCTTCCCTTAGCTTACAACCCATACTTCCCTTCTCATATATCTTACATATCATTCTATCCTTCCCTTAGCTTACAACCCATCCTTCCCTTCTCATATATCTTACATATCATTCTATCCTTCCCTTAGCTTACAACCCATACTTCCCTTCTCATATATCTTACATATCATTCTATCCTTCCCTTAGCTTATAACCCATATTTTCCTTCTCATATATCTTACATCTCATTATATCCTTCCCTTAGCTTACAACTCATACTTCCCTTCTCATATATCTTACATCTCATTATATCCTTCCCTTAGCTTACAACCCATACTTCCCTTCCCTTAGCTTGCATTTCATCCTTCTCTTAGCTTACAACCCATCCTTCCCTTCTCATATATCTTACATCTCATTATATCCTTCCCTTTGTATATATGTATATATATGTAGATAACAATCCCAATTGTAAAATATATTACATCACAAGTTTTGACTGAGCAATAACATAAACACAAATCTTTACTGCAGTCCATATCCTCACAATAAATTAGTTAAAAGGTTTGTAATTGTATGTTGTTGCAATTTAAAGTGACCTTTCATTTTAAGAAGTATATTCCGGTCAACATCGATACCTTTAAACCCTTTATCTGATCATTAATAAGGCTTTTCTATTTTGATAATTTTGATTATTGTTTCTAGGGCAGAAATGCGCAAGCAACTGCATAGAAAAACCACAACTGAAAAAAAGATACATGTCATACATTCTTAATCAGGCAAAACTATTGTGGGAACCATTGTAAATCGGACATGCAGCTTTGTTAAAGGAAAGTAACTCGATATTACACCTTCAGTTCCTACCAATTCTTATCATAATATTGTTCATTTTTTAAAGATTTTATGCAATCCTAACCTAAGCTTACATCTAAATAAACATGGTGTAGTCAGCCTAGGCGTTGAACTAAATATATGTAAAACAGAAACACATTGGTGTAAAACTGATCCTATAAGCTTAGTACCTGTCCTTATAGCGACAAAGATCTTATTTACACAAAACTACATTCTTTAATACTGATCCTTTAAGCTTAGTACATGTCTTTATAGCACAGTCTTTTCAGATAAACTTTAAAAAGAGAATGGGAACAGTGATTTTCTGTAATAAAGGAATAGCAGGCGAAATGGAACCTCAATTGAGCCTTGGCCACAAACTCAAATTTTCTAATTCCTATATCTTTTCAACCTGGTGGTGTAAATCTTTGATATTTCAAACTTAGAATATTTGACCCAATAGAATTCATATTTCATAGTTTGACAAATTTAAGGTCTTGGACATTAAGTTCCAAACACATAACTAGGGATTAGAAAATCAGAGTTTGTGGCAAAGGCTCCATTTCTTTATTAAAGGAACTGAGTTTTTGTCACAAACTCAAACTGTCTAATCCCTATATCTTTACAATCTGATGATGTAAACCTTTGATATTTCAAACTTAGATTATTTGGTCTAACAGAATTCTTAGTTTGAAATATCAAAGGTCTACGACAATTTATTCCATCTCTCAAAATATCCATTATCTTTACATAATTACACAATTTTCAAGACTTGTGTTCAAACCCTGTTTCCAAAAGTTACCGTATATTTTTTCTTTTCTAAAAATTAGTTTCATTTTTTCTTTATCCTTGATCTCCACTTTGTTTTTATATAAAAAGTTGTGTTTTAATTGAATTTTGAATTCTCGTGTATAGGGTTGAGTATGAGTATTCAGATGGGTTGAACTAGGTGACTTGAATAATTCTATAATTAATTATATTCTTGTCGGAGCAGGGGGATGGGGGTTGGAGTAGGAGGGATTCCATCGGAAAAGGAGTGAGAGGGTTGGAAAGTAAGCCGAGAGGGGTTCGAAGAAAGGGAGTCGGAGTAGGAGGGGGATTGAAGTAGGAGGTCCAAGTATAGGAGGGGGTTGAACTTGGAGGAAGGTTATTGGAGTTGGATGGGGTTGGAGTAGGAAAGTAGGAGGAAGGGGGTCGGAGTAGGAGGGAGTTGGAGCAGGATAAAGAGCATTAAAGTAGAAAGAAGGTTATAGGAGTAGGAAAGTAGGAGGGAGCGGGGTCTAAGGATGAGGAGGTTGAACATCTGGGCCCTTTAAAACAATGGATCAGATCGGATTAGAAGGGATTGCGTGGTGATTTAGATAAAAACAGAATTCAGAGTCAATGCACAAAACTACCATATCTAAATGAACTTTTTAAAATCCTTCTCTCTTCCAGTATTCTTAGCTACTAAGTTCTTTTGGTTTGATTTTTCCTTTACGGTAAGCACAGACCAAGATTGTCTTTTTTAAAACTTTAAAAAGGAAAAGGGGTCAAAGTGCCAGATAAAAGGGTAAAATGATCCAAGAAAAATGGGCAAAAAACACCAGAGAAAGGAATAAAAGGGACTAAGAAACAGGAGCAAAAGCGCCCTAGAAAACATTTAAAAGGAAAAAGGGGTAAAAGCCCCAGATAAAAGGGTAAAATGCACCAAGAAAATGGGCAAAAAACGCCAGAGAAAGGGATAAAAGGGACTAAGAAACAGGAGCAAAAGCGCCCTAAAAAACATTTAAAAGGAAAAAGGGGTAAAAGCCCCAGATAAAAGGGTAAAATGATCCAAGAAAAGGATAAAAAGGACCAAGAAAATGGGCAAAAACACCAGAGAAAAGGATAAAAGGGACTAAAAAAAAAGGAGCAAAAGCGCCCTAGAAAACATTTAAAAGGAAAAGGAGTAAAAGTACCAGAGAAAAGGATAAAAAGGACCAAGAAGAATAGGCAAAAACACCAGAGAAAAGGATAAAAGGGACCAAGAAAAGGATAAAAGGGACCAAGAAAAAGGAGCAAAAGTGCCAGAGGAAAGGGTATACCGTTAAAGGCAGCAAGAAAAGGGGCAGAAAACGCCCTGACTTTCTCACTAACTGCTCAATATTAGGTAAATAAGCAAAACAGATTCTATAAAATATTTATTTTTCTAAACTCTGTAATTAACATATCTATGCTATATACGAACACGATTAACAAGAAAGAAATTTTAGATTTGAAGTTTAGAAAACGTTTTGTTCCCCCATACCAGGAGTTGCATTATATAATGATATATATCCTCAAACCATCTGTTTATTTGTTGAAAGAAGTTAAAAGAGAGAGAAAGAGAGAAAAAGCAAGATTCAATGAAATAAATAAGTTTGAACTAGAAGTGACACTAAGGGCACTTATCAGTGGAAAACAGGAGTGTTTTACAGATTCCACTTTTACAGTTCTACTAAAGCTAACAATTTTTAACAGTTTTAATAATGCTAAGAAAGTTAAGTTTGCATATATTAGATATACATATCATAAAAACAATCTTTATGGCCATTAAATTACACCAATAGCTGCCTAAACGACATAATAATTGTTGAAATAATAAAGAGAACTTGTCTAATTGCATAAATGATCGATAAAAGGAACATTATTTAGCATCTGCGAAGTACATTAAACATTGATGATCAAATACTGGTGTTTTCAATAAATATAAGATCGCTTGTTTCTTGGCCAAACTTTAAAAACTGATACATTTTCTACAGTTGGCGTCTGTTCAAGGAACGCAAATATATATCGAATAACCCTATACTTTTCATACAAGAAAGACTTATGTATGCAGCCTTGAAAATTGTAAACTGTAAATTCAAAATTGAAATGTCCTGAAGGATTCTTTTTACAACTCTTTAATCTTCTTCAGAGCTTGTGCGTTAGGACTTCAGAGAAATATGATGTGATAGGTTAGGACTGTAGAGATGTATGCTGGGCTAGGTTAGGAGTGTAGAGATATATGCTGGGCTAGGTTAGGGCTGTAGAGATATATGCTGGGCTAGGTTAGGACTGTAGAGATATATGCTGGGCTAGGTTAGGACTGTAGAGAAGTATTCTGCAGGCTAGGTTAGGACTGTAGAAAAGTATGCTGGGTTAGGTTAGGACTGTAGAAAAGTATGCTGTAGGCTAGGTTAGGACTGTAGAAAAGTATGCTGGGCTAGGTAAGGACTGTAGAGAAGTATGCTGGGCTAGATTAGGACAGTAGATAAGTATGCTGGGATATGTTAGGGCTGTAGAGAAGTATGCTGGACTAGGTTAGGACTTTAGAAATATGCTGGGCTAGGTTAGGACTGTAGAGAAGTATGCTGGGCTAGTTTAGGACTGTAGAGAAGTATGCTGGGCTAGGTTAGGACTGTAGAGAAGTATGCTGGGTTAGGTTAGGACTGTAGAGAAGTATGCTGCAGGCTAGGTTAGGACTGTAGAAAAGTATGCTGGGCTAGGTTAAGACTGTAGAGAAGTATGCTAGGCTAGGTTAGGACTGTAGAGATGTATGTTAGGACTGGAGGTAGGCTGCCCAATGATTCTTAAACCTGTTCAGATAGCGCCATCAGGATCATGGTCAATTCCTAAGAAATCACAATTTTCAAAATAGTTTTCCTAATAAATGAACTGAGCTTGGAACTCTTTTATTAATTGTGGATATCGAGACCAATCCTTGGTCTTAATTGTTTTAATCTGCAGATTAATTTAAGCTTTATTTAATATCCTGCATGGTAATAGTACCCAGTCTGGGGCTAAAGGGAGCTATGATCAGGGGAAGAATAACTAACACGAAGAAATGAGAAAGGTAGATTTTAAAGTGCCCAAAGTGTAAATCGATATCAAGAGTTCGGAATTATCCAACATAAAAGTTCCCTGCTCTGATAAAAGCTTTTTTTTTATAAAAATAAGATTTGTCGGTAAAGGATTTGAGACTTTGCCACAAACTCAAACTTTGTAATCCCTATTTCTTTAATTACAAACTGGTCGTGTAATCCTGTGATATTTCAATTCAAACTTAGATTATTTGATGTCACAGAATTCATACTTTGAAATATCTAAGGTCTACACCAAATTGGATTGGAAAGATATACGAATTAAAAAATATGAATTTGTGGGAAAAACTCAATTTTATTAAATGATTTTATTTAACCTTGCGGGAAATCTTTCCGTCCTTGTTCGTATCACAACCCTTCATGATGGTCTCTTCAAATTCGGTCAAATCAGTACTATCGTAATCCTAGATATTTAGAGATATTATCAGTACTATCCTAATCCTAGATATTTAGAGATATTATCAGTACTATCGTAATCCTAGATATTTAGAGATATTATCAGTACTATCATAATCATAGATATTTAGAGATATGATCAGTAATATCATAATCCTAGATATTTAGAGATATTATCAGTACTATCGTAATCCTAGATATTTAGAGAGTATCAGTACTATCATATCCTAGATATTTAGAGATATTATCAGTACTATCGTAATCTTAGATATTTAGAGATATTATCAGTACTATCGTAATCTTAGATATTTAGAGAGTATCAGTACTATCGTAATCATAGATATTTAGAGAATATCAGTACTATCGTAATCATAGATATTTAGAGATATTATCAGGACTATCATAATCATAGATATTTAGAGATATTATCAGTACTATCATAATCATAGATATTTAGAGATATTATCAGTACTATCATAATCCTAGATATTTAGAGATATTATCAGTACTATCATAATCCTAGATATTTAGAGATATGATCAGTACTATCATAATCCTAGATATTTAGAGATATTATCAGTACTATCGTAATCATAGATATTTAGAGATATGATCAGTACTATCGTAATCCTAGATATTTAGAGATATTATCAGTACTATCCTAATCCTAGATATTTAGAGAATATCAGTACTATCATAATCATAGATATTTAGAGATATTGTCAGTTCTATCATAATCCTAGATATTTAGAGTTATTATCAGTACTATCGTAATCCTAGATATTTAGAGAATATCAGTGCTATCCTAATCCTAGATATTTAGAGATATGATCAGTACTATCATAATCATAGATATTTAGAGATATTATCAGTACTATCGTAATCCTAGGTATTTAGAGATATTATCAGTTCTATCGAAATCCTAGATATTTAGAGATATTATCAGTTCTATAATTATTCTAGATTATTTAAAAGAAAAAAGACATAAATATAAAATTCAATAATATACGTCTTATTTCGTAGTAATCCAGAATCTATATATAAATCATAATCCTTAAATATTTTCAGTTTAGAAAAGTTCATCAAGCGCAGAATAAAATATTTTAATAAGATATTCTTTGCGTAACTTAAACGGTTTGTACCAATATATTTTATCAATATAAACATCTTTTTATCTAAAAAGTTTTGTTCCAACTTAAACTTTTTCCCATGCTTAGGAAAAGTTTTCCAGATCTATTTTCCAAGATATACCTTTTTAGCAAGAGAAAGCAAATCTTTAAGAAAGCCAGAGAGTTCTTCATTTTCAATAGTTCCACTGTTATCCTAGAAAAAAAAAATCAGTTTGCTATGAAATTATTTGAAACTAAATTTAGAATTTTGTTCATATCCTATACAATTTTTTTTGAGATATTGGGCCCAAAATAGTACTCATGGTACAAAGTACAATCAATAAAGTTACAGGGCGCAGTTATCTTTTCAAATTGATCTTTTGTTGACACCTTGTTGTTCAATTCAAATAGTTTATAGTAGAAAGTGTCCAGGGTAATATAAAGGGGCGGCTTAGGATATTTTCCAGAGGTGGGAAAATAATTGAAGAAATGCGTGCGAAGCGCGCAAAAATTGTTATCACCCACTTGGATTATTTTTACAGTGAATTTATTTAATTTAACGCTAAAATCATTTGGAGGGTGGATGGTGGAATATGTTTAAGCAAGATTTAAATTTTTATAATTTTTATTAAACATTTTTGATTTAGAGTTTATAAGTTGGGCTGCAGGAAAAAAAAATTTTTAATCTAAAATGTAATGGTTAGAAGGTGACTGTTCTCTTTTATGTGCTCTTAATTTTTCCAAGGGGGAGGAACAACCCCCCAGTTTTCCCATCAATTTTCCATGGGGGCGTCCCCATCTCTCTCCCCTCCCTCCATCCATAAGCCGCCTATATTAAATTAGACCAAGGAGATGAGAACTTAAGAAGGAGTTATTACTATTAATGTCATCAATCTGGAATAAATAAACCTTGTTTTCTCGGAGTGCAAACATGATTTATCAGTAATTTTTATGGACTCTAAATATTCTACTTTAAGCAGTCAATTTTATTATATATAAATCTATTTTCACTTTAGAAATATTCAAGATGTTATCATTATTGATTGGGCTTGGGTATCAATTTGTTCTATACATTTTGTTGGAGAAAAGGTTTCAATATTTTGACTCACCCTGTCATAGAGGGAGAATACACCATCAATATCTTCCTTCGTAATCGCACTCGGCCCCTGATATAAATACGATTAAATACAGAGTTAGTGGATTTCGGATGTAATTCTAAAAGTTTAAGAATCCCTAAGTATTTTTACAAGTGGGAAAATTGAATAAACTGAATACTGAAACTCTATTAAAATAAATTTGAAAAAATAAATTTTAAAAAACACGCTCGGTATCTTCTTTAATAAAAGTCATAAGCAAATGTTTTTTTTTAATTCATAAAAAGAGATTTTTGAAATTTTATTACAGAGAATATGATTTTAAAAGTTCTTTAAGGCTGAAACCAGTAGTAATAAATGCACTAAACTTTAACATACATACTACATATATAAACTTATAAATAAATGTCTCTAACAATGTAAAAAAAAAACTAAACCTTGAATATTTGTCGTGTAAGAAAGTTTTCTTTGACCGGAAGAAGCCTAAAATAAATCAATTAACTTTAAATATAAAATTTTTTCTTTATTCCGCCAATTATAAAAAAGGCTAAATGGAAACTCTATCAAAGGAATTGAGTCTTTGTCACAAATTCTGGTTTTCTAAACAATAATGTAAAACATAAATCATGTTTGAACCTTTCTCTGAGAGATGTCGTTTTTTAAAAAAACACACACCCCTTATTTGCAACTCTTGTATGTGGAGTAGAGGAGATATTAACCTGATCAACTCCAGCTTTTTGTTTTCTACAAATATATCTTTGCAACCCAATATGATATAGGCCTTAGATATTTCAAATAACCTAAGTTTTAAATATCAAAGATATGCACCAGGTTGCGTAGATATTGGGATTAGTAGATGTGAAATTGTGGCAAAGACTCAATTTTTTTTATCAATTCTATAACTCCCCTAAAAGTAAAAAAGTATTTATAGTTTGGTTGATCCTCAGAATTTTTAGTGCATTTTCTGGTATATCACCCCTTCCCCTCCCCCCTCACTAAGACCGGCCTTGTATCCCCCTTATACCTCCCCCGCCATCTTGTTTTTCTAATTAAGATTCAACTTACTTTGCCATCTCCGACAGCTGTAGCTTACCATCCTTATTACTGTCAAACACGTTCAACTAAAATAATAACTATTAAATAATGAAAATAATGATTAGATTATGCAAGATTAGCTTCATAAAACTCATTCTACGTCTTTTTTTTATAGTAAGGCAACTTCATAATCAGTTTTCGAAATGTTTTATGTATTGTTTGGGTCCTAATATTAATATTTTTCGTTTTTGACTCAATAATCTTATTATGCTTCTTACAGATGTAAGTACCTTTTGATAAGATTGTTTAGTTATCATGCATCTTATATTTGATATTATTAATAATATTTTCGTATTCGTCAAAATTATATTTTTTAGAAATAAGATATAATATTAAGTTAATTTCGCCTTTCTGTTTTCTCACGCTAGAAGACAGAATATTAATTTAATAGTTGATCGAAATATAATTGATATAAACTATATAACGGGATGTTTTTAAACAATACGTAATTAGCATTTATAATTTTATTTAAAAGACCAAAATACTTTGTTCATTATTTGTGCATTTACAAAAAAGGACGTACTATAAACCCCTTTTCCATGTACGAAAGTTGTACATTGTACACGATGTGAAATGTGTACACAACAACCCCCGATGTGAAATTTTGAAATGTCTGATTTAAAATGGCATATTTGTCTCTTTTGTGTTAAAAGCCAGGAAATGTTTATTCAAGAATAAAAATAATTTCTTTTTGTTGTTTCTACTGAATCCATTTATCTTCTGGGGCTGATAGGTTCTCTTTTATTCTTATAGAACTTCCTTTAGTTCCATCATATATATTCTTTAATCATCCTTCCCATTATCCAATTCTCTAATTATCTTACCATTTTATCAGTGTAAATAATCAGCATATATTACCATTTTATCAGTGTAAACAATCCTCTGATCTTACCATTGTATCAGTGTAAACAATCAGCTGATCTTACCATTTTATCAGTGTAAACATTCCTCTGATCTTACCATTTTATCAGTGTTAGCAATCACCTGATCTTACCATTTTATCCGTAAAAACAATCAGCTGAGCTTACCATTGTATCAGTGTAAACAATCACTTGATCTTACCATTGTATCAGTGTAAACAATCAGCATACATTACCATTGTATCAGTATAAACAATCAGATGATCTTACCATTGTGTCAGTGTTAACAATCAGCTGATCTTACTATTGTATCAGTGTAAACAGTCAGCTGATATTACAATTGTATCATTGAAAACAACAGCTGATCTTACCATTGTATCAGTGTAAACAATCAGCTGATCTTCAGTTACGTCTTGGCTCTTGCTTGCTCCTTTCAGTATGTCTCGAAGAAAGTTCTGTAAAAAGTACCTTTAAGGCAAAAACAGTTTTTATTTTTTTTTAATATTAAGATTTATTTTCCACAAAAGAAATGATACATTAACAACTCTGATTTTGTACTCGTGTGTTACCATGTATTAAGTTATTTTTTTAAGTGACAACTTTATCACAACTTTGCTCAGGGCTATTGCACAACTAATTCAATTTTTTACACGACTCGATGTCCACAATTGGCAAAGTCAAAGAGACGGCATTGAGATTTATACGCAAAACCAGACGCTTTAATTGGGTTCAATAAGAAGCCAAAGAACGTCGTCGTTTCTGTAATTTAAAAAGATTTTAGGACTTTTTAAGCATTTCCATCACCAAAAACTTGCGTTTTTACTTAATTTTACGTTAGAAATGCATAATTTTATTATCTTTTTATATAAACTTTATCTTAAAAAAGATTGCAACGTAATTGGTTACAAAAAATGTGGCTACTTAAAACCAAGGTTTTTTCGGCCTTGCTCATCGTTACTGGCCTAAAATTCTGCTTAGACTTTTACAAAACTATGCTTAATGTCACCTAACAATTTTGTTTTAAAATATTTGGTATTTTCATACAAATTTAACAAAATCACAATTTTAGCTTTATTTTAGCAACTACAATTATTAAATCATTTAGTAACTGACGTTTTAATGTTGATTGTTTTGAATTTAAAACCAATACTGCAGCCAGTGACGTCATATAAAAGTGTACATAGCGTACACACTATTCGGATACATTCCTAATGCCCTATCTTCTACTATTCTACCGTCTTTGGGTAAAGTAAAATGTAAAACATACTTCAAGGCTCGAAAGTAAATTGTACCTTGAGTTCATCTGCCTCCAGGAAACCACTGTGATCAGTATCATATTGAGACCAGATCTAGAACCAGAACAGATATTATTATAAAAGCATAGATAACTTTATAAAGAAGATGGATACTATTTACAGAAGTATAAATATTAAATATTATAAAAGATGGATACTATTTGCAGAAGCATGGATAACTTTTTATAGAAGATGGATACTATTTACAGAAGTATAAATATCTTTTTATAGAAGATGGATACTATTTACAGAAGTATAAATATCTTTTTATAGAAGATGGATACTATTTACAGAAGTATAAATATTAAATATCTTTTTATAGAAGATGGATACTATTTTTACAGTATATACCTTCATAAACTCTACACTAGAGTCCAGCGGATTATCGAATCTAAAGAGAAGAAGAAAGTTCTCTTCCATCGGTAGAAGTTGCGCCAACTAGAATATAAAAGTTTCAGAATTCTTCAATAATATTTAAATATTTCCAAACATGTTGTAAAAAATATTAAACTTTGAGGTTCTGAGAATGCATTTGGTTTTAAAGCTGAGTCATTTCATCTAGAACTCTAGGTTTAATAAATAAAACGTTTTAAATTGTTTTATTATTCAAGTATAAAAGAATAAATCTTTTAACACAAGACTCATCACATTTCCAAGATTTAAGCCTAAATCATTCTAATTTTTACAAATTTAATACTCATATTTTGAAACTAGGTCTAGATTTATTTTTGGCTTTCAAATCCCATAATTCATTTCTGTCTATTTGAAAATCCCCCTTTCTTAATACTTGAAAAATTTCTTTTATTACTCCTTTCTGGGACCGAATTAAAATAATTGGAGAGGTCGCTGAACTACCGATTCAAATCCTCACGAAACTTTAACTCTATTCGGTGATTGAGTATTTGAACCAGCAGTATAGGCAGTTCAGAAACCTCTCTCCAATTCATTACTTCGGTCCCTGGGATGTTTTTGAGTGTATTCCCATTCAAGATGCTTTCATAATTCAATCATTAATTCACGATCCCCTCTCAAGATCTCTGCTTACTGTGATCTACTATGATCTTTTCCTGATCCCTATTTTCTGAGGGTTGCTGATCCCTATATTTGTGTGTGTTTGTTGCCTACCCTATAAGATAGAGGATTGCTGAATAAACATAGTATTGATTACTATAATACTCATTTAGGGTTTGTTTATTTATCGTTTATTTATCATAAATTATAAAGATAAGGTTTTTAACCTCGAGACACCCTTTGGATATCTTCCACAACCTTTATATATCCTTCCATCCTCCAACCTTTATATATCTTCCATCCTCAAACCTTTACATCTCTTCCATCCTCCAACCTTTATATATCTTCCATCCTTTATCCTTTATATATCTTCCATCCTCCAATCTTTATATCTCTTCCATCCTTCATCCTTTATATATCCTCCATCCTTCATCCTTTATATCTCTTCCATCCTCCAACCTTTATATCTCTTCCATCTTCCAATCTTTATATCTCTTCCATCCTTCATCCTGTATATCTCTTCCATCCTCCATCCTGTATATATCTTCCATCCTTCATCCTGTATATATCTTCCATCCTCCAAACTTTATATCTCTTCCATCCTCCAACCTTTATATCTCTTCCATCCTCTAACCTTTATATCTCTTCCATCCTCCATCCTGTATATATCTTCCATCCTTCATCCTTTTTATCTCTTCCATCCTCCATCCTTTATATTTCCTCCATCCTACATATATCTTCCATCCTCCAACCTTTATATATCTTCCATCCTCCAACCTTTATATATCTTCCATCCTCCAACCTTTATATATCCATCCATCCTCCAAACTTTATATATCCTTCCATCCTCCAACCTTTATATATCTTCCATCCTTCATCCTTTATATATCTTCCATCCTCCAATCTTTATATCTCTTCCATCCTCCAACCTTTATATCTCTTCCATCCTCCAATCTTTATATCTCTTCCATCCTCCATCCTGTATATATCTTCCATCCTCCATCCTGTATATATCTTCCATCCTTCATCCTTTATATCTCTTCCATCCTCCAATCTTTATATCTCTTCCATCCTCCATCCTTTATATTTCCTCCATCCTACATATATCTTCCATCCTCCAACCTTTATATATCTTCCATCCTCCATCCTTTCTATCTCTTCCATCCTCCATCCTTTAAATTTCCTCCATCCTACATATATCTTCCATCCTCCAACCTTTATATATTTTCCATCCTCCATCCTTTATATCTCTCCCATCCTCCATCCTTTATATATCTTCCATCCTCCAACCTTTATATATCTTTCATCCTCCAACCTTTATATATCTTCCATCCTCCAACCTTTATATATCCTTCCATCCTCCAACCTTTATATATCCTTCCATCCTCCAACCTTTATACATCTTCCATCCTCCAACCTTTATATCTCCTCCATCCTTCATCCTTTCTATCTCTTCCATCCTCCATCCTTCCTATATCTTCCATCCTCCAATCTTTATCTTTCTTTAACTTTTTATCCCCAGATTTATATTAAATTCCACAACTATTGACAAAGAATGAAAAATACCTCTCTAATCTCAATCTTCCCGTCCTTGTTGTCATCGTATGCCTCCATGAAGCTCTCCTTGAGCTCGGCCAGGTCCTTATCTGAAACCTAGATCAGGAAAAAAAAATAGTGCGAAGTAGTTGAATAACGTGGAATAAGTTGAACCACTTCTCTTTACCTTGAACCGCCGCACAAAAGAAGGGGTTCAACTAGCAGCGCAGTATCATTTTACCATTTATTAAATCTGGTCCAAGCTTTAGCACACAGATAAGTATTTGATCTATAGGTTTTGAACTTGGTTTAGTGGGATACTCCGGTAGGATCCGGAGACTGTGTACTGTGTATATCGCAGGTTCAACTATATTTATTCTTCTCTAACTTTCTTTGAGAAGAAAATGGAAAGAAAACAAAATATTACTGTTTAGTTCCAGACTTCGGGTTTACTATAGAGATTAAACTTCAAAGTAAATCTTCAATTCTACAAGAAAATGACACATCGGAATTAATTATCTTGTAGTCTTGGAGTTAATTTTCTTGTAGACAGTAAGGAGTACATTTTCTTGTAGACAGTAAGGAGTACATTTTCTTGTAGATAGTAAGGAGTACATTTTCTTGCAGTCAGTATGGAGTACATTTTCTTGCAGTCAGTATGGAGTACATTTTCTTGCGGTCAGTATGGAGTTCATTTTCTTATAGTCAGTATGGAGGTTATTTTCTTAAAGTACATTTTCTTATAGTCACAAGGAAGTACATTTTCTTATAGACACCAGGGTGTACATTTTCTTATAGTCACCAGGAAGTACATTTTCTTAAAGTCACCAGGAAGTACATTTTCTTATAGTCACCAGGAAGTACATTTTCTTATAATCACCAGGGAGTACATTTTCTTACAGTCAGTATAAAGTTCATTTTTTTATTTTAAGGTAAGTGAATGTATGTCCTGTCTGTAATAGATTAAATGTCAAACATGTTTGGAGAATTGAATTTTGAAATGTCATCAAACTGACTCTATACAAAATATTTGCTACATAATGTTTAGTCTAGGAAAACAAAGGAAAAAAAGAAATACAATCTGGTTCTCTTCAACTTTTCATCAGTAAATATATTTTAATATATAAGTATACTTTAAATGTTACTTTAATTGACTGCAATCATTTTTTCGCACATTTATAAAAAGAAACATTTTTAAAATTTAGCTGACCTTCAGCTTTCGAAGTTTTCAAAAATCCTATTTTTTGGGGGGGTTGGGGCCAATTTTGTTGACGTTAAATGGACACTGCCCAAAAATAGCTGTAAATGTAAAAAATAGATTGTATGTAGAACAGAACTAGTTTTTATTTGTAGACGAGTAAACATCGGATTCATAAGCTTACTTATTGTTAGCTCCTTAATGGCCACTTGAAAACGTTAAATCCTGTGTAAGTACATAAAGCTTGCTATCACCGAACCTTTACAGTTTTGCTCACTAAAAGAAGTGTACTGCAGATTTTATATCAGGAAAAATGTAAAAAAAAACTCAGTGCTGGTCATACTTCAGAGGTCGCTCATCTTCCCACCAATCCCACCCACCTCTCCTCCCATTAATCTATTTAATCCCACCCCCGCATTCTCCCATTAATTTATTTGTCAATACTAATATTAACAATAATAATAATAAAATCCTATCTAAACGAGCACGGAACAAAAACGAATTTGAGAAAGTTCTTGTATTTTACAGTATTTCACAAAATTAAGTTAATTTTAAGATGTTCGACGACATGGTTTCTTTCCATTTTTAAATTTATATTATTGATGATCAGGGTTCCCTTCTCTTGATAGGTTTCATATAATATGCTCCTGATCCTCCTTTTCATCAGTTTCTGCTTTTGAAAAACTATTAAAATCATAATTTGTTAATAAGATTGATATTGGATTAGGATTCCTCTGTTTTAGATAATATTCTACTAGTACCTGACTCTATCTACAGTACCTGACTCTATCTACTTGTGCCTGACTCTATCTACTAGTACCTGAGTCTATCTACTAGTACCTGACTCTATCTACTAGTACCTGACTCTGCCTACTAGTACCTGACTGTTAATAGACCCATCAGGATTAACTGAAGTTATAAACTCCTTGAGGAATCCATCCAACTCCTCCCCCTCAATATAACCATTTCCTGGAAAATTTCATTTTAAAACAATAAATAAAGCTTTCGTCTAAAGTAGGAAAAGAGGAAAAATACAACTTTAAAGAGAGTGTTCGCTAAAACATAAAGGATAATGAATTGAATTCTATATTGATCGCTACTAATTTTACTTCTATCTGTTGCGTCTATAAGGAGAAAATGGTTAAACACGTTTTATACCAAAGAAGGTAGCGTCCGATAAATTCACAGACTTGCATTATTCCACTCAGAATGTAAATAATTCCATTCAATTAAATTCAGAACTAATCATTCAGATATTACAACCTTTAAATGTCAAATTCAATTCGATGAATTCATATAAAGTTGATATTTTATAATATTTTTTTTTTTATCTAATCCGGCTTTTTTTTTATATGATCCGAATATTACTTTTGAAAATAATCTTTTCTCTAATTTCTAGGATTTTTGATAAGTAAGGAATGTTTGAAAATCCAGCGCCAGACGTGAAAACAATGTTGATTTGAAGAAAAAAAACCAGATCGAAGTGTTTACGCGAACACTCCCTCTGAACGGTTGAATTTAAATCTTTGAATTCCAGAAAAGAAAATTAAGTGGTTGAGTTTTAAAACTTTCTTTCAATTAATATTCTTTTAAATCCCATTTTAAAAGATGAATCAAATCTTTTGAAAGATTTGTGTCTTTATATATTCTGAACATACTAGGTTATGTTCATTGTACAGTGAATAATAACAAGTTGTTAAATAGTCCCTATGGACCAATAATCACATTTAGCTGGTTAGTCATAAACATTACTATAGCCTCAAGTTAGATTCTATTAAAATCAAGTTAATTCTTTCCAGGGCTGAAACGGATACCCTTAATAGCGATCTCTTAATCTGAATATTCACTGTGGACACTTTTGATTTCTGCTTAATCCGCTCTTTTTCCTCTTTATTGATATCCCTACTGGATTCTGACCAATAAAAGTACTCTCATCAAATGGCGCGCGCAAAATTTAAAATTTTCCGGCTTCTGATTGGCTGTTCAGGATTCTGCAAACACCACTCTGATTGGTTGAAAATTTTTTGGATTAAAACTAAAGTTTTCTTAATCTTAAGATTATAAAAAAGAAGATCCACAATTCTGAAATTTTCAGCTCAGAAGATGGGAAGGGGGCCATTTTAGACCAAAACCAAAATAAAATAATCGGAAACGAAACGAAAGATCGTATCGTGTTAGTTTTTTCGTCGTTGATGAAACGATCAGTTCGTTTTTTTTCAGAAAAGTAAAAACTGCCCATCTCTACCTGCACGCCTTGCGTTTAGTTTTTAAATAATATACTAAATGATAAAAAGAAACAAGTTTACAGTTTAAGACTGTAAAAGAAAATTCGGTACAGTCGTCTTTGAGGTCTTATCTTTTGTAGGTAATACTGTGCCTTCTTTATTCAGTACATTGTAACAGTAATAAAACTTTTTATGTCTTTGGAAAAAGCAAATGATAAATCAAATTCATTCGAATGATTTTAAAATTTCTTTTAAGAAAATATTTTACAATGAAAAAAATCAACAATATTGTAAATCGAAGATATGAAATATCATAATCAAATGCAAAATCGAAGATTTTAAATAATTGCTATCACTTCCAAAATCAAAGTTCAAAGATATTAATCAAATTTGATTAATTCCAAGATCGCAGATTTTGGCAAACATAATCAATTTCAAGATCTGGGATATTCAGATTTTATATTCCAAAGTAGGATTTAAAGAAAATTTTTACGGAAGTTTTTTTCTCAAAAAGTCGGTCTAATTCTGTTGAATATTAAATATAAAAAACAGTGTTATTTGTATTTTCTATAAAGCTGAGAAAACTTGATTGTGTTTATATGCTCTCACACTAGTTTGGACTGACAAAGTTAAATAATTAGTTAGACACCAGTTTAAGTATATTCCACCACCATGAGATATAATAGTTAGTTAGACACCAGTTTAAGTATATTCCAACACCATGAGATATAATAGTTAGTTAGACACCAGTTTAAGTATATTCCACCACCATGAGATGTAAAAGTTTTAAAGACGATTCCAACAAGTTGAAACGACATTCTTATAGAATAGATTTTAAAAGTCATTCGGATATAATATTAAAACAAACAAAGTTAAAACTTGAAAACTTGAAGAGACCTTTAAAATGCTCTAAATTGTAAATTACACTTTTATGTCTTGAAAATAAAAAAAAACTCTTACCGTCTTCATCATAGTGCTCCCAAACCTGGATAAACTGGGCTGCAGATAGTTTACTGATCTCCCTGATTTAATATAGATTCAAGATTCAAGATACAAGATTCAAGATTCAAGATTCAAGATTCAAGATTCAAGATTCAAGATTCAATATACAAGATTCAAGATTCAAGATTTAAGATACAAGATACAAGATTCAAGATTCAAGATTCAAGATACAAGATTCAAGATTCAAGATACAAGATTCAAGATACGAGATTCAAGATACAAGATACAAGATTCAAGATACAAGATTCAAAATAAAAGATTCAAGATACAAGATACAAGATTCAAGATACAAGATACAAGATTTAAAATATAAAATTCAAGATACATGTTACAAGATTCAGGATACAAGATTCAAGATACAAGATTCACAAGATACAAGATTCACAAGATACAAGATTCAAGATACAAGATTCACAAGATATAAGATTCAAGATACAAGATTCAAGTTACAAGATTCAAGATACAAGATACAAGATTCTAGAGACAAGATTAAAGATACAAGATTCAAGATACAAGATTCAAGATACAAGATACAAGATACAAGATACAAGATACAAGATACAAGATACAAGATTCAAGAAAGAGTATATAAACTAGATAGTTTACTGATCTCTCTAGAGTCGGGTTGGTAGATCTAGAGTGAGGTTGGGAGATCTAGAGTAAGGTTGGTAGATCTAGAGTAAGGTTGGGAGATCTAGAGTAAGGTTGGGAGATCTAGAGTAAGGTTGGGAGATATAGTGTAAGGTTGGGAGATCTGGAGTAAGGTTGGTAGATCTAGAGTAAGGTTGGGAGATCTAGAGTAAGATTGGTAGATCCAGAGTAAGGTTGGTAGATCTAGAGTAAGGCTGGGAGATCTAGAGTAAGGTTGGGAGATCTAGAGTAAGGTTGGGAGATCTAGAGTAAGGTTGGGAGATCTAGAGTAAGGTTGGGAGATCTGGAGTAATGTTGGTAGATCTAGAGTAAGGTGGGTAGATCTAGAGTAAGGTTGGTAGATCTATAGTAAGGTTGGGAGATCTAGTGTAAGATTGGGAGATCTGGAGTAAGGTTGGTAGATCTAGAGTAAGGTTGGGAGATCTAGAGTATGGTTGGAAGATCTAGTGTAAGGTTGGGAGATCTGGAGTAAGGTTGAGAGATCTAGAGTAAGAGTGGGACAAGGTTATAATGCAATGAAAGTTAATTGCAGTTGCGTATGCTCTGCGTACATATTGAAACCAGTTCTCTCTGGGCGGAATTTGTAAACAAGAATAGATGCATCAGTGTTCGTTTAGTATCCGAGGAGGTTAAAAGCATTAATTTTTGATAATTTTGATAATTCACATAATAGTTTCCTATGACCAGAATATTTCATTGATTTTTTATGTAAAAGATGGATTCCATGTCATGCTTCGACATCCGTCTTGTGTTTACATTAAAGTACACTGCAGTACAAAAGATGCGTACACCTCTGAAACAACTTTCCTTGCATTATAACCTTGGGTTGGGAGATCTAGTGTAAGATTGGGAGATTCAGAGTAAGATTGGGAGATTTAGAGTAAGGTTGGGAGATTTAGAGTAAGGTTGGGAGATCTAGAGTAAGGTTGGGAGATCTATAGTAAGGTTGGGACATAATTTGAAAGTTGTTTTCGTGTTTCATGAATCCTTTCCTAGAGTCAGAATCCCGGAACTGACGGAGAAAATTGGACTCATTCAATTTAAAACTCATTTTTCTTTTTCTTGTTTTGTTCTTTTGTAGCTTCTACTCTTTCCGTTCGCCGGTTCTTCTAGTAAAATAAAATATATGAAAGCATAAATTAAAACTTTCTATAAAGTTATAAATTTAAGATCTAACACCCACATTCGACCTAGCAATGAACTGTTGTCATTTTTGAATAATTTATTTGAATAGATTTTACTTATGATTTTTAGCATTTCTCAGTTCCTAAATGTAGCATAACGGTGCTTTTTATATAAATCTTGAATATGAAAATGTTACAAGTCTGATAAAATTAATGAAAAATCTTGAGATTTTAATTTATATAGATTTTGTTTACAATGAATACAATTATTAAACGTTGTTTATTCAATATCTACATTTATTCTATATTATCATTATACTATTTATCACATATATCATAATATTATTTTTGTCAACTTTTTTCTTAATTAAAATAAGGAGGAGTTATATTGGATAATTGTTTTTATCCTTAGGAGTGAATACAGAGCGTGCCATATAATTTTGGATTATATCCTTACTTTAACGCCGAAATATGCCCAGATTAATCATAGGTTCTTGTATTTTCTGCAAGAAAATTTTCATATTAGCCTTTTACAAATTTGTCTAATGATTCATTTGGTTTATGCCCGATTACAGAGTTTTTTTTTTAAATCAAACTTTGATGCGTTTTAAACCAATCCTAATTGTTAAATGATTGTCAAATATTCAAAATTTTAAGTATTTGAAAGAAGAAAGACATACAAGCAAGTTTTTATCAACGCTTTTGTAAATTTATATGATAGTTAAATTGTTATAATTATTATTAAGTATTAATTTACCCAGAGTAACACTTTTTAATTAAACTAGAAACTGAATTAATTCTAGATATATTCAAGAGACAAAGCACAGCTTTCAAACATACTATTGGACTTGGAGTCTTGCCAGAGAAAATAGTTAGATTTCAAATTCACAGATTTGGGAGAATCAGACCATCCAACTCTCAGATTAAATAACCTTTAATCTAGGAAATATCATTTTAAAATGAGTGAGACATTTATAAAAATAAAACTATATTTTTTCACTCGAAACCGATCAAGTTTCAATTTTCAATCTTGGAAATTCATTATTGGAAAAAGAAAAAATTTTCCGATATTTTACTCTTTTTTCTATACATATCTTTGCTTGTATGTTTGTTTGTTTGTATCCAATACACGTAAAAACGGTTGAACCGATAGGGCCCATTTTATTTAATGCGCAAATTTAAACAGAATAATTCGTGAAATGCAATTTACCAAAAAAAAGTGTCGGTTTGAAGAGCATGCTATGGTGAACACCGTAAATTAAAAGTAGAAAATCCCAAGTCTAGTTTATATAGAGCAAAAAAATAGAACCCATTTACGATTAAAGTACAGTAAGCACAAAAAAACTATAATACAGGAAGACGACTTTTTAGAATCAAATTCAAACATATTCAATGAGCATGAACACAGCAATTTCCAGTCTAAAGAGATTTATTCCACTATATTTGTGATTTAATAAGTGTCTAGTAGAACTATTTGCTTTGTAACAACACTTAAGTACTACTATAAGTATAAATTCTTCCTTTTCCATTATTTTCTGATTATCACTGTAGCAAAGCTAGCATAATTAAATATATCAATTATATCAAACATTTTATTCTATTTTTAAAAATATTTCTTGGTTTGTCCTGATTTTTCCCGATTTTTCTTGTAATCTAACATTTAGCGACATTTAAAAATTCTTTAATAGAAGAGAATAGAATACAACCTGACATTACTTGACAGTGTCTAAGATAATGTCAACCACAGGATATTAAAAAAGAAAAAATATTGAAAAATGTCAGAAAACTGTATAAATTTTTCATCCTTTGAGAGCAAATTGTGTAATTTAAAGGATTTGTCTCGGCGGAAACATTCTTCAAGGAACTTTACAGGGAAATATTCTTAAATTATTCCATTCAAAAAATTATACTTTATCATGAACAGCTAATTCTGAACTGCAGCCTGAACCTGAACCTAAACCTGAACCTGAAAATTAATCTAAACCTAAGCCTAAATTTGAACCCAATCCTGAACCTGGAATTGAACCGAAATCTAAACCTTAATCTGAACCTATAAATGAGTCAACAAGAATCGAGAAAAATCGAGAAAAATTCAGAACACTGAAGATAAAAGTCAAGAATTGAGAAGAATCAACAGTAGTCGAGGAGAATCAGCAAGAGTTTACAAGAACTAACAAGAATCGAGGAGAATCAACAAGAATTTAGGAGAATCGATGAGAATCAACACGAATTGAAAAGAATCAACAAGAGTTGATAAGAATCCAAAAGAATCGAGGAGAATCCACACGAATAGAGAAGAATTAACAAGAATATCGATAAGAATCAACAAGAATTGAGAAGACTCCCACAAGAATCGATGAGAATCAACAAGAATTGAGAAGAATCAGAAGAATTGAGAAGAATCAACAAGAATTGAGAAGAATTAATAAGAATCAAGGAGAATCCACAAGAATAGAGAAGAATTAACAAGAAGATCGATGAGAATCAACAAGAATCGTGGAGACTAAACAAGAATTGAGAAGAATCGTCAAGAATTGAGAAGAATCAACAAGAATTGAGAAGAATCAGCAAGAATTGAGAAGAAACAACAAGAATCAATGAGAATCAACAAGAATTGAGAAGAATCAGCAAGAATTGAGAAGAATCAACAAGAGTTGATGAGAATCCAAAAGAATCGAGGAGAATCCACAAGAATAGAGAAGAATTAACAAGAATCGATGAGAATCAACAAGAATCGAGGAGAATCAACAAGAATTGAGAAGAATCAACAAGAATTTAGAAGAATCAACAAGAATTGAGAAGAATCGTCAAGAATTGAGAAGAATCAACAAGAATTGAGAAGAATCAGCAAGAATTGAGAAGAATCAATAAGAGTTGATGAGAATCCAAAAGAATCGAGGAGAATCCACAAGAATAGAGAAGAATCAGCAAGAATTGAGAAGAATCAACAAGAATTGAGAAGAATCAGCAAGGATTGAGAAGAATCAACAAGAGTTGAGAAGAATCAGCAAGAATTGAGAAGAATCAGCAAGAATTGAAAAGAATCAGCAAGAATTGAGAAGAATCAGCAAGAATTGAGAAGAATCAGCAAGAATTGAGAAGAATCAGCAAGAATTGAGAAGAATAAGTTACAAGCTAGAGTTTAATGAAGACCCAATAGTACAGAACAGAGGCGGATCTATCTAATATCTCTCCAGGATATCTTTGCTCCTGGAATCCCAAGAGAAATAATAAGATAAACTAAGTTTTGATTAAACGTCTGTATAAAACAAAACATTTTTGAGAGAATAGATGCCGAATTAAAAGAATTTGAGCCGCGGCTTGAATTTGAGACGCGGTTCAAATATGGTTGGTTCCACTTAAAAGTGTATTCAATGTTTTAAGATTTAAGCCGGTGCTCGATCAATTGAAACCAGTTTTCGGCGGATTTGAGACGCAGCTCAAATTCATTCTTTTCAGGACGTTACACCTAACTTGTTATTCTTTACAAATAGAAACGGGCAATAGTTTGGTTCGTTTAAAAATCTTTAAGGTTTTTGAACTCACTTTGAAAAGGTTTCTCAAATCAATAATTTGGTTTGATTAAAAAAACTTTAAGGTTTTTGAACTTTAAAAAGGTTCCAGAAAAATATAAAAAGTATCTAAACATTATTTTAATAAAAGCAAACTATTACAGAATAATTTTTGTGATGATGGAAATCTAAGTTTACAGTATTAAGATTGAAAACCATAAAAGTTCTAAAAAGAAACGAACCAAGATATCTCCCATCCATAATCAGTTTTCACAGCCATGACTAGTCTTTTAATTTCATTTTTAAGCTGTACAGCATTTCTGTTATGTGGCTTTACTGGTAGGACATTGCAACCTTATAGCTCCTTGTAACTGTTTTTCATTAAAAACCCAAAACTAACCGAACTTGTTTAATTACATCCAGGGATTATTATTGAAAACACGCAAGATTTCAAACTAAAATGAAATGAGACTTTAGTTTGTTGCAAAGAGAATAGATGTTATATAAAGTGAAGTTTTCTCTCAGTCCCTCTGAACCTGAAAAGAAGTGATCACTCTATCCCCGTAGTAAAGTTGAATTCGAACAGAACCTGCCCAGTTTGTACCGGCCTGCCAGATAACTACGTGTACTGACCCGATCCAATGGTACAGTACGTCGCCATAACCAGACTAACTTACGACAGGGGTCAATTTTCTTGGCATAGTCCCGTGAGAGGGCTAACTATGACAACTCCCATGGCACGTTCACACTTTTTGCAGTACCCGGCCTAATCCTAGGCCTATTTGACCGACCCCACTGGCTTAGTCCACCGTGTATAGTTTACAAATTATACGCAGTACATAACAATAATATAGTATGATTCCTGGACCTATCCGTTACAAGTTCTTGTTTTTATAAACTTGTTAAATTTTTTTTTAAAACGTCTATTAGGTGAATTACGAAATTAAACTTTTTCGGCTTATCTTCTCTCTATACAATATCTCTTTGGTTTCTTGTGATACCAAACCATTCCTTCTAATTTGCTAAGTACATATGTATTATGTATGAACCATTTTACATTATAAATATCTGTTGTATCTTTTTTACTTTGTGACTTCTTTCTTTCTATATTGTAAGTTCCTTGTTTGCTTTAACAATCTATTGTTGGATATTTTTAGAAAATGTTTAAAGGTCTGTTCAAACAAATAAATGTAAAAATAAAATTTATTTTTAGTCTTATTCCACATCAAGAACCTAAAATGGTGTGATAAGATAAGTTTTAGAGCCAATAAACGTAGTTATAACATAAAAAACGTAAAATTGAAGTGTACGCTAGCGTACTGTGTGAACTGAATACGGATGACATCACACTTATTCCTGAAAAACAAAACAAAAAGAATTTGAATATTTTATGTCCAGCGCTACGTAATTTTCACGAGTGGGCGCGGTGAGACTGATTTTTCTAAATTTTTTGTTCTTTCTTTGCATGTAATT